ATATTTTTAATTTGGGCAATTTCTGGTGGGTTTGTGTCTTCGGATTAACTAGGGGAGGTTTATTAATCGTAACTTGACATTATGTATACATGTAGTATATAAGTATATAATATATATATATAGTATATATATATATGCACAGTGTATAGGATTTGTTCTATAGATCGAACGTAGTAGTATAATACAACACCACGAGATACTGGAGCTTGAGACACCAATTGGCGCGCATGCCTTTTCGCGCGCGCCACGAGTCAAACAGCGCCTGCTTTGGACTCGACGGCCCCGAGTCCGGACGACTCTCAAAGTCCCGGGTTTTGGACGGTGCCATACTGTAGACCCTTGAGGACACGTCCAACATGAAGCTACAGTATGGGTTTACACTATGCCTGTTTTGTGAACCCCCCCATAATGAAGCTGAATACATGGGAGTGTAGCACACTTGCCGATGACCGACACACAGCCGCCAAGTGTGTAGCTGATCCTTTTCTTTGGGGTGTCCAATGCTGAGCTGTGGAATGCAGCCAGCAATGTACACTCTTCGAGACCTGACTTCGAGTGTGCGCGAGTGGTGGAAGAGGATTTCCAGTTCAAACGGGGGGAATTTACGAATCAAGAGTCTACACGATTTTCTTTTGGGACGGTCACGGCACAGGTCATCATGACTTGTGCATGCCTTTGGGGAAGCAGCAAGTCATTTTTTTCGTGAGAACGGTTGGCCATAGGGACGGGCTGGTGAAAAAATGATTGTTCTGGCAACGACGGCCCTACCAATCAATCCGTCGATTCAAGAAGGCAACCAACCGCCCCCTAAAGGAATTTGATGCTCATTTTGGATCCGACGAAGTGGCAGCGATGTGCTGCCATGGTACTTGAGCGGCCATGGTGGTTTCAAATGCAAGTGACCTTCCAGTGATTCAATCACTGTATGCAGCGAAGTCGGCAAATCCAGACTCATTTTGTGGCAGTTTTTTGTGCTTTGGCTTATGCTGGTTTCTTGGCTTGTGGTGGCTTTTAACTGGCTTCTTAAGTCTTGGGTTTTTGCTTCTTGTGGTGGCCTTTGGCTGGCTTTTTGGCTTCTGGCTTGTGGTGGCCTCTGGCTGGCTTCTTTGGTTTTGGCTTTTGGCTGTCTTCTTAGGTTTTGGTTGGGGCTGGCTTATTGGCTTGTGTTGGCTGTTGGCTGGCTTCTTAGATTTGGCTTGTACTGGCTTCTTGGCTTTTCGTGGCGGCTTCTGCTGGCTTTGGGTGGCATCCCTTTTTCGGTGCTTCAATCAAGTCTCTGTGGTTTTGGGGGGATTTCTTTTTACATCGTTTTGCCTCAGATATCACTTCAGAAAGCCGCCACAGAAGCCAGGTGACTTGTCATTATGCCCAAAGGTTTGTGATACCAACAGTGCACATACAAATGAGGCCGAGATTCCTGGACATATGAGCAGGTCAAAGGCTCACATGCCCCAAGTGCTGCCAATACTAGCCGCTCCAATCGAAGCAAGGACTTCGAGGGTCCCGTTGCGACACGGCAGATTTTTAATTTCGGCTGATCACCTAATTGCTCCTTCTTGAAGGCATTTGCTTCAACGAATGAATTCAATCAATAAAATATACATTAATCACATATTCCTCTGATCTTGGTATGTGGTATACGCCTTCCTGAAAAGTAAAGCCACATACTGCAGATTGAATAGTTTTTGGATGTACCTGTGTATAGTATAGATGTACATGTGTACAGTATATATATATATTACTGTAATATATCCACGTACGTCTAGATAAAGACACACACACACATCCGCAAAAATGTACAGAGATAGAGAACCGGCCTTTTCTGATACCACACCCGAAAATGAACCGCAAGCAGGTCAATGTGCGCTTGCGGGCCGATGTCCTACCGCTTCAATTCGGTGTGTGTGGAAAACTTGCCATTTGGCCCGAAGTGCTTCACCACAGTTTTGGAGCTGTCCACCCCCAGCACCGCGTGCCCGGCTGAGGCGCGGCCTTGGAGGCCGCGGCGCCTGTCAGGCGCCGCGCTGTCATGCGACGCATGACCTCGGACTACACGGACACGCCACTGTGGCAGCAGATCTTGCGCTTTGTGGCACCCATCACTGCGACATATGCCTTGGAGGGCGCAGCCACATTGGTGCCCATTTGGGCTGCGGCGCATGGTGGGAACCCCACGGAGGCTGAGGCCACACGCCGGGTGGGCGCGGTGGGGCTGGGCAATACCGTGGTGATTTGTGTGGCGCTCGTGGTGAAATCGGGATGGACTGGTGCTCAAGATACGCTGGTGTCACAAGCTCATGGGCTGAAAGATCATCGAAAGGCACGGGATCATCTCAACTGCTGCCAGATCCTTGTAGGTTTTGAGCCCCCTGATTTTTGTTGCGTGCGCAATGCACATTTCATCATTCTGCATTCAGAATCATATCATTTGCACAGGCAATCTTGATTCCCTTTGTTGCACCAGGCGCTCAAATGCTGAGGATTTGGATGGTTTTCCTGGCGGCCATTTGCTCCCTGCTGCTGCTCTCCACTGAGCAGATGTTGATTCTCACGGGCTGCGCCACCGAGCAGCTAGCTGCTGATACCTTCAGATATGTTCTGAGTTGCATCCCCGGCGTCTGGCTGGAGTTTCAGTATGATGCTCTCAGGAAGTTCCTAATGAATCAGCAGATCCCTTCGCCAGGCTTCTGGGTTCTAGTTGGTGCGGTGCCTGCGCACTGGGCCATGTGCGTTGTGCTCCTGAACCAGATCCATGTTTGTGATCCGCTCGTGGCCATTGGAATCGCCTTCTCGGTGAAATCGGCCGTGTCCTTCCTCCTCCTTGCAGGCACCTCTGAGAAAGCATCATGTATAGTAACGTACTGTAGACCCTTGATTCATGAACCCTCCGCATTTGGATTGAACAACTTTTTTATATGGGGGGTTTATTAATCAAGAGTCTACAGACATAGAATTGGAGAGTGGATGGTTGACAGGTTGAGCAGATCTTTGGTGGGAAGGGTGTGCATAATGGAGCTTCTGAAATTCAAGATCGGTCTTCATCCGACTTGGATGTTTCACCTCAGCATGGCGTCACTCGGAGGTGGGGGGTGGTCTCCCAGCTCGGCTTTCAGGGCCCAACCGCCCGAGGCTACATGAGCTTTCTTCAACCAACCCCCAGCTGCATTGGCTGGTGGCGCATCTGGAGTTGCAGCGCGGGCGCCGGAGGCTTGGCCTCCTATGCCACCATCGCGGTGCCCAGCGTGGCCATGTACGGTTTCGACTGGTGGGCCTATGAGACTTGGAGTGGGCGAGTGAAACGGGACGAGAGGGAGGTGGGCCTTTCGAAGTGTTTAGATTGAACATCAGTATTTCTAGGAGTGAGGTGAGAAGAAAAGCCATGGGGAGCAAGGTCCAAGATGAATTGCTTGACGTACGGCAGAGGTTCACTACGGTGCCACGAGATGATTTCACCCGGGAACTTTGAGGTGAACACTTGGGTCTAGGTGCCCCTTCATTCCCCCTAGTGTATATCACCCCAATGCAATTTCAGGGGGGTGTGGTGAACGAAGAAGATGCGAGCAACATGGAGGCGTCCACGCCTCCAGCTCCTTCCAGTCCTTCTGGGCCTTCCTTCCTCACATCTCGTCACCTTTTCTATTTTTTCCGTCCTCACACGGGCTGGGGAGATCAGGAGATGCTCACCTTGTTAGCCGGTGGCTTGCGCTCAGACACCCAGCTCGCGGCGCACGTGGCGGCCACCACCGCCTCGGACTGGGCCTTCCTGGTGGTGCGCGGCGCGCCCAAGGCGGCCACCGCGCTGGTGGGTGCCGCCGCGGGGCGGGAGGATGTGGGACGAGTGAGGAAAGTGGTACGTGCTTGTTTGCTGCTCACCTTTGTAATGTGCAGCGGTCTCTCAGTGAGTTGCTGGTTTGGCCGGCAGCACTTGACCCACATGTTGCTACCGGACGAGCGAGAGACGCAAGCGATCTTCGGGAAATTGTTGGTTTGCGTCTTGCTGTCGCTGCTGGCCGATGGCTTCAACAGCTGCTGCAGTGGGATTTTTGCGGGTTTAGGTCGTCAGGGCGCCGTATCTGCCGGATTGTTTGCCTTTCAATGGGTGGTACAGCTACCCCTCGCCTGCTTCCTGGGATACCACTTCGACATGGGAGCACTGGGTCTTCATGTGGCCTCATGTGTGGCTTCCGTGTTGAACAGTGTCTACAACGCGCTTCTCATGAAGCACTGCATTAAGGGCTTCCTGTCAGTGCTTGACGTGCTGCATTCTTTTTGTTCATTTTTTGTTTTTTCACCTTTATCAGTTGCAAGTGTGCTATCAGGTTCACACCACAACTAAGAATATATAGTCACACCATGTTATTCTAATTTATTCTAGGATTTATATAAAGTGAAATAACAACAGGCTGACAAATAGGCAGCCCGCTTCCGATTTTTCGGAGGATGTATGGCCATGGCTCCTCCCTCACTCCTGGTGGGTCTATCTCAAGAGAATCATTCCCCTTCCCCCTTGAAACTCCCGAGGCCTGGGCCCGGAAATGCCGGTGAAGGAGTACGAAATGCTCCAGTCCCGCTCGCGCCCGTAGACGCGAATCGCGCCCTGCGGAAGAAAGAGGGGGGAAGGGGGGGGAGGGCCGGGCATCAGGGTGCTGGATGAAGATCAGAGAGTATGGCCTGCATCAGTTCGGGTGATGTTTGCCTTCAATCCTCTCACAAAAAGCCTCTGGAAGAAGCATTTTGCAGTCCCAGCTTGGCAAAAACCGGTCAGTTCCCGAAAGTGGATCCCAATTTCTTCGAAGACGGCTTAAGATCCGGCAGTGGGCAGGACTTACTGCAAAGTGTTTCAAGTCTATTCTTTTATCCTGCAGGGCTTTTCAAGGGCAGCCCCGCCTTGAAACTGACCTTCCTTCGGCCTGAACGCCCCACGACGAGGCCCCCAAACGCACGCACGTTCGTTTCACCCTCTCGGACGCTTCTGCGTTCGGGGGACCGGTGTGTGCCAGGACGACCACTGGAAGCTTCGAGTGCTGCAGCTCTTCTGGGTGGGGGGTACCTGCGGGCACTCTTCACGGGTTTCTCGGACACCGGTGAGGTCGGTGGGGTGAACTCCTGGGACCTTGGAGTCGACGCGGACGTGTCGGTCGGTCGAGAGGTGCATGTGACTCCGTCATGACTCCTGTGTTGGGTGCGGACGATGCAGATTTGGGAGGTGTGGACTGGGTTCCATGAGCAGCTGCACGGAATGAGAAGACGCATGTCCTCGAAGTTGAGAACACCGCTGCAATTGTGCTGGCTCTGAACTGTGCGACCAGCCCATGGGACTGAAGCGAGTTGTGGGCCTTACCAAAACAGCCAAAACAGTTAGGATTGGAATGGTCTAGATGCATGAGCATGCTGGAGACTGATGAACCTCTCACAAATCCGTGAAAAATGGTTTAGCCTTCTCCACGAATTTCATGCTGCTTCTCCACTTCCCTGAACTTGAGGGATCTAAAGTCGGTGGCTCCATTTTCACCATTTCGCTCCATTCTCGGATTGCACTCTCATGGCCTCCATGGTTTTTATTTTTGGGGGTTGGATGGCTTTGGAACAGCCTTTGGGACTCCCTCGTCACGCTCCGAGGAGGATGCGACCTTGCTTGACTTGTTGCTTGGAGACCCGGGGCTTCAGCAGGGCTCCGGAAAAAAGAAGCACCCAGGTCGACACCAGCAGCAATTTCACCATGAACAAATAGTAAAAGCGATTGAACGAGCACTGCTGTTGACTTCAATATGTGAGGTTCCTCAAGTCCTCTAACGCCACAACGCCTTCCTTGAACTTCGTTGAACCCGAGTCGGGGAAGGTGCACCATAAAGCCAAGACCGCCGAGACCGCTCGCCTTAGGTGGGGGTTCTTGTTGGACCTTCCAGTGGACTCCAGCACATCCAGCTGGAACGTGCCGCGCCCAGCCCGCATGCGCCACCCTCCAGCTGGTCTTGGGTTCGCTGTTAACGGTACCAGTTCTTGTCTCAAGCGCCATGATTTCACGTTTAGGTTCGGTCTTCTTTCCCCAGCCAGTTCTGTATTGGATAAGAAATTCCATTTCCATGAAGGTTCGTCCCAAACGTGCTCCCCCTCCGAAGGAGGGGTGAGGCCATGGCTGAGCTCAGGTGCTGGCGGGCTACTTCTGTGGCGTCGTGCTGGCGTTATTTCACCACCTTCCTGGCCAGGTGCCTCACCGTGGTCGTCGCACCATCGTGGGCTTTGCGGCGTTCACGGCATCGCGTCCGGCCGAAGGGGAAATTCGGGGGCCTACTTCAGTGAGGTCCCGTATAGAAGCCGTATAGCAGGTTAGAGAAAGGACACGATGTCCAGACATGTTGCTATTTCGCTTGTTCTTTTGGGGAGCTTCATCAGTGAGTCCAGGATCTTGTGCAGCTGACAGGTGATTGGCTACCTGCGCACTCGAGGCGATGCGGTCTTTGCAAACTTCATGCTCTTCTTGGGGACCAGGCGAAGGGGTGGCGAAGTCCGTGCCTTTTTGGCTTCTTTGAGTCATCTATATAAAGGCTTCTAAGAGGCAATCACGGCACTGAAGTGCACAGATACGGCATGTGGTGCAGACAAGGAGGGGCGTTATCAACCACACGTCAGGTGTATTGCAGAGCTCTTTGTGGCTTTGCTGCTGACTGTGCTGGCCTTAGGGTGCCTGGACGGGCTTGTGATGTAAGTTCTTTGAGCTGGGCGCTTGCAAGTCGATCTCAACATGTGGTATAGCTTATTTATTCAAGAGTTCGTAACAAGGATTGTAAAACAATTTAATTGTAAAAGTAAAGCAAGTTGAACTGAATGTACTTCTTGATTGTATACAGGGTATATATATAGTTCACATGTATTCTTCCGGTTGGAGCCTTCTACACCTCTTTACTTACTGTGGTGCTAAAGGAAGAATGATGCGTGCATCGCTTTCCCACGAAACCAGCGTGAATAGATTCATATCTATGTCAATGATATGTACGCCACAGATCTTGAACTGGACAACGGATGTCGGTCTTGGACTGGAAGAAGGTGGTAGACGGGGCAGTTGGACCTTCAGCCCCCGTGGCTTTACCCAAGGGGGACCAAGGAAGAACGGGCGCGCGCGGAGCAACTAAGGAGTCGGAGGAGGGAATGCTTTTCCCCCTGGAGGGCTTGATGATTCGCTTGGTCGAGCAGTTCCAAGGCACGTGACTGGGGACTCGAACTGCTCAAAAGCTGTGGATGTTTGGGGATGATCAGATCAGCTGCTTTTTCGTCAGGTGCGAGAGATCGTTGTTTTCAGGTTCGGACGTGTTGATGAACTTGAGGAACGTTCCAATTTGGAGGTTTCTGGGTCTGGAATTCTCCAGGTTTCTGGGAAGGATGTCCTTTTCTCGAGGCTTGGGAAGCTTTGGAACGCATCCCACTTTTCTGCAATTGCTGACTCGTGGAGTGTCAAGAAGGAGCTAGCAGCTAGAAAAGGGAGGGCAGGATGGACTGGACATCCCATGTTCGGGATTCGGGAGGGCTTGAATTAGGCACAGGTGCTACCCGCATCCTGGCACATGCTTATGTGCGACAAACATGGTCAATGTGAGTGCGTCACTGATTGGTAATTTTTGCGCCCCTTACCATTTACAAGTGCAGACATATGTCATGGCTGGTTCGCCAATGCTTCACACCAAGACCACCGTCTCAGCAACAGTTCGGTGGTGGTCCCGTCCTGCTTCTGTTTGGCTCCTGTGTTCCCAGGCGCTCGCCCTGATGGGGATGACGCGGATGAGAACTTAGCCTTGGTCATCAAGACCCTTGTATCGCAGGCTTGGTGGCCGAGTCCCTTGTCTGATCGGCATGTCATCAGGTTTCAGTGTTGCCCGTGTGACTGCGATAGGTAGACCAAGTATAGACTCCAGAGCGAGAGAGAGAGAGAGAGACACGATAAAACACACATGACATATACACACATCGTACACTAATATATATATATATATATTATATATATACACACTATATATTGCTCCTGGAACCGTGAATTGCCGTTGGTGGCTGTTCGCTTCTTGCCTTTCCTCTTCCTGGACCCCGACATTTTATTGCATTTTTCTCTTGCAACACGACGGTCGTCAGTACAGTGGGCCTTGGTTTCTGTTCTCTGACTGTGCGGGGAAACCAATGGCGGGGGCGACATGGTCTATGCCTCAGCCCTGGGGGCCAGTGCACCACTACGAAGATGTCTTGGTGGAGTGCCCAGCTCCCTATCCTGCTCTGACCCGCTGTCATGGCAGCACTTTTCGCGTCGCCTCGTTTCACTTTGTTTCACTGTGGCAGGCTTTTTCCCTTCCTAGAAGGTTTTTCCCTGCCTGTGCAGTTGTTTCAAGCATTTTCATGCCATGTCCCGGATGCCATGGTGTCCCGGATGCCATGTCCAGTGAACTTCTCATGATATATCATGTACTGTATTGTGCTTATAGTCCTACACACACTACATACACATGTATATGTATATGTACGTAAAGATACACAGTTTTCGCAAAACACCTCCGATGCATGCTGGCCTGACGTCAGGCATGCCACGGTCTTCGTTTCGGTGCAGCGATCCTGGAGCAAATGCTGCTGGCTAAGACGCACGAAAGTGCGGCAGACGCTTCCCCTGAAGATTCCGAGGGCAGGACGTGAAGCCCCTGGGTTTCTAGCTTTGGCTTGCCTACCTGGATGTCGCCTCGGCTTTTTCACACAGAGTCGCAGGATGTCGCCTCGGTTTTCAGACCTGACCGTTGTTTCTTCGGGGCGACGTCGCCCCAAATCGGCGACTCAGATCCTCAGCCAATGTGGTTGCGACGTTGCTGGACAAGGCGCTGCGTTCGCGGTGATGCTTGGTAGCGGAGGTGGAAAGTGCGGCGGAGGTGACACTTGGTTCGGAGGTAGCGTGGCATCAGGCATCATGCTCGCATGACAGGTGGAGAGAAACGGAAGGAGAGAGGGGGAGAGAGAGAGAGGGAGAGAGAGATAGACATAATACAAGAAGGACAGAAAGATAGAGAAAGATAGAGAGAGAGAGAGAGAGAGGAAGAAGAAGAAGAAGAAGAAGAAGAAGAAGAAGAAGAAGAAGAAGAAGAGAAGCGGTTCGTGCTTCGAGCTTGCGCTCAACACAAGGAGTTCGGAGTTTTTTTGCGGGCAAATTCCTTGCCATTTTGCGCACGATCTCCAGGTCGTGGACCTGGGCTCCCCAGCGGCTGTCCGCACCTGAATCTTTTTTTGGCTTCAAGTGACCTGAAAAAGGACCCGTGACTTGGGTACCTAATGGGATAGTCGAACTAGGGTCCTTCAACCTCTGTTGCTTGGCTGGTTTTGTTCTTGATAGCATCACAAATGGAAGAAGAGAGGAAGAGAGGAAGAGAGGGAGAGACGCCCTACGTCCCCCTCACGTTCGGAACTAAGCAGGACGCCAAGGGCACCAGTGTAGGACATCCACCAAAACCAGATCGCGTTGGGTCTGTTCAACTCTCGAAGCCCGGCACAGGTCGGACCGGGTTTGTTCATGTGGTTCGGTGCTACATCGGAGAACACCACCGGGCGCCCCGCCGGGGCCGATGCGACGCACCGGCTGAGCGTTTTCGAGGCGTCGGTGTTGTCACTGAGCATCTCCCGGCTCTTCTGCTTGTCGTGGGGGGCGCCCAAGCGTGGCGAAGCACGCGGGGAAGCCGCCGTTTGGGGCGGCCCCGGAAAGCGCGTGGACGCACGCCGGGGAGACCGCGCCGTGACACGCACGGCACACAAGAAGGGATTCGTTCAAGAGGGCCAGACTGTTGTTTTTTTCTGGATTGGAGGTTTCGTGGCCTGGGTGGATCTCGAGGGCGGGCTTCTGTTCAGTCAGCAGTTTTTCTGGCCCCCCTTCGCCTGGCCAGGCCGAATCCCTTATTGCCCATGAGAGGGCCCAATCTGATGAGACCTTTGGAGGAGGTCCGGGTGCTGCTCTCTGGTCCCCAGCCGCTGTTGTCGTTGGGTCGGAGGCCGAACAGCCGACATCCATGGTTAGGGTGAAGACTTGCTTTCCTCATTCTATTCTACGTCCAACCCGGAGTAGGCGTAGGCCTGTACTGTCCAACTGTTGGGCAATTGGGCGCCTCAACCAGCCCAGTCGAACGCAGGAGACTCACCAGGAAATTGCTGAAGCGGAACGCCAGAGACCCAGAGTTCAGGCCCTTCTCTGTGGGCCTTCTCGAGTTCGCCCTCTAGATCTGGGTCCGAGGACGGCACTGTATGGACCCCAAATCGAAAAGATGTCCATCACGGTGATTTAGGGTCCATCATCAGCTGCCGGCACACTAGACTAGTGGTCGTTCAGTGGTCCCTAATCATTTCTGCGACATGCGCTTCAAGTGGCTCGAGACGGAGACGGAGCCCCTTTTTGCTCGGGGAGGATCGCTGCATGGGACGGCGCGCGGCTTCCCTCCTCGCGATCACAGGTCTTGGCTTCGTTCTGTGGCTGAATACGCCAGGGGCATTTGGAGCATTAGAACGGTCAAAGATGTCCATAACGGTGTGGACGACTGAAGATGCTGCAGATAAGGCCGATAAAATTGCAGCTGCAAGTAAGACCTTGCCAGATGCAGAGGTGGGAAGGGTTCAAAATCAGATTCCTGTCCAACTCCAAGGCGTTCTATTCTTTTTTTTTCTCTCCTGAGTGAGCATGTAAAATCAAGTTTCGAGCGTCCTGAGGTGAGCATCGAGCCGATCAAGAGCTACTACTGGTGGGATGGCAAGGTCAACTTCGATCCTGAGTGGAGAGTTGTGGTAACCACCACTGCTCCCTTTGAGACAGCGAGAGATATCATCTCCAAGGTGCATAGCTATGACACACCGATGATCATTTACGACCTACCGAATGACCCGCGACCAAAAACGTGTATGACCACAGTTTCTAGGTTCCCGACGTTCATAGGAATCATGTTAAACTAATAATCTAATGATATATCTATATCCATATCCATATCTATATCTATATAGATATAAGTATAGATATATAAATATTGTGCATACACACTTAACATGTGGTCGCGTGAGCAAAGCGTAAGCAATAATGTTGCATCCAAATTAGCATAATGGGACGGAAAAAATAACTTTTCGACACATCATTCACACACCCATACACACCCTGATTACAGTAGTTTAATGGGGCGGAAAATAGTAGTTTTTCCACCCAGGGTGTTTTTTGAAGAATTCTTGATTTGCCTACTACTGCTGCTGCTGCTGCTCCTACTACTACTACTACGACGACGACGACGACTAATACTACTAAATACTACTAAATACTACTAAATACTACTAAATACTACTACATACTACTACATACTACATACTACTACTACCTACTACTACTACTACTACTTCTTCTACTACTACTACTAAATACTACTACTAAATATAACTACTACTACTACACACTACTACTACTACTACCACCACCACCACTACTACAACTACTGCACAATAGAAATAAACATACTACTACTACTACTACTTATTACTATTATTACTACTACTACTTCTACTTATTACTACTACTACTACTACTGCTGCTGCTGCTACTACTACCAGTGCTACTTTTACTCTACTACTACTACTACTGCTACTACTGCTACTGCTACTGCTACTCCTACTCCTACTCCTATTCCTACTTCTACCTACGACGACGACTACTACTACTGATGCAGCAGCAACAACAACTACTGCTACTACTGCTGCTGCTGCTACTGCTACTGCTACCGCGACCACCACCACCACCACCACCACCACCACGATGAGGACGACTACTACAGCTAATTGTTTTTGTGGCGGTGCTTCTTTTTAGACTCCCTGGATTGTTTGCTACAGGGTGGTGTTTATACTAATCAAGACCCAACATTAGCGTAAGCAGACACTTACTGTACAACCAGGAATTTAATTTGACCTTTTGGCCCATGCTAATATATGGATTTATGGTAGATGGTTTGGACTTCGACTTCATCAACCAGCAAGTCTGCAGAAAAATCCGCAAACCACAGTATACTATACAACCTAAGACCCGTTATACGACGGAACCATGTCACATGTGGGCGCAGACCACGTCACTCCCATCTCAGGATTTCACCGAGCAGCCGTACTGGAAGGGGAGCCTGACGCTGTCCAGCTCCCACGAAGCCATCCAACTGGCGGAGCGGCTCGTGGAGCAACGGCTCGTGGCGTGTGCTCAGGCGTCGGACTCAGGTGCCCCGGGCCGAGCAAGCAGCCGATGAAACGCGAAAGACGGGGTCTCTAACACGAAAGACCACAAGAGGCGGAGGTTTTTTTGGCAAACTGGATGGACAAAAAACGGAGATGATGGGCCAAGACATCAGCCCGTTACTTCTAGCATGCTGTTGTTTTGCCATGCTGACTTGCAAGCAGGCTGTCATACTGACATGGTGTCGTCGTTGGCACGCTGACACTAGGGCCGCACACGGGCTGAGAGGCATAAAACGCTGAGATTGGTCACGCTACGTTTCATGCTGCCGTGCTGACATGCTAGATTCCTGGTTCTTGCTCGCTCGCTTGCTGGCTTGCTCGCTTGCTGGCTTGCTGGCTTGCTGGCTTGCTTCCTTGCTTCCTTCCTTGCTTGCTTCCTTGCGCTTCCTTGCTTCCTTGCGCTTCCGCGCTTCCTTGCGCTTCCTTGTGCTTCCTTGCGCTTCCTTGCGCTTCCTTGCGCTTCCTTGCGCTTCCTTGCGCTTCCTTGCGCTTCCTTGCTTCCTTGCTTCCTTCCTTGCTTGCTTGCTTGCTTCCTTGCTTCCTTGCTTCCTTGCTTCCTTCCTTTCTTCCTTGCTTACTTGCTTGCTTGCTTGCTTCCGTGCTTCCTTGCTTCCTTGCTTCCTTGCTTCCTTGCTTGCTTGCTTGCTTCCTTCCTTCCTTGTTTGCTTGCTTGCTTGCTTGCTTGCTTGCTGCGGCATTGTCTTGTTTTCACATATGTGGGCACATGTGCTATGCCGACATGTTGCCGTGTTGCGATGCTTGCATGGCACGTTGAAAAGGCTCCCACGTTGCAGAGCAGCATCGTTTGGCAAAGGCAGGGCGCTTGCTGCCGTTGCCGAACCCTCGTTCATGCCCAACTGTCAGGGGTCTTTCTTTTGTTTTGTGTTTGTTGAACTTCCCTGAGGTCAATTGGCAGTGAAGACGCTGAACAAGTGCAAAACTTTGGTGGAAGGCAGTGCTGGGGTGAGCGTCGCATGGTCAGCCATTGGTGGAAACGAAGGCTATCTCAAGTGGTTGGAGGACGAGTGTGTGGGGGCCAAGTGAAATTGATGTTATGGCCTCCAGTTGGCAATGTCATGGGAAGTCAGGCAGGGTGACTAGGTTGACCGAAGGAAAGGCGCCCAGAACTCCGATCTGCAAATGCCCATGGTAGCACCGCCCCCTGTCCGCATTGAAAGCGACCGCATCGGCCAAGTCGGCCCCAAACTCTGGGAGCTGGCCGTCGTCCCAGTCTTGCTTGCAGCCTGCAAAAGAGGAGCGAGGAGAGGCCAATTCTTCTGGTGGGTCTTGTGCAAAAATCTTAGGAGTGGACGTCATTTGGAATGTGGGGAGCATATTTAATCCTATTTCACATGGTAGATGGTAGGCTTCAACTGCTGCAAGTCGGGCCGGAACCCAGGTTCGAGCCGTACACCGCCGGCCCATCGAAACACCATCCCTGGATCCATCCGTGTTGTTTCAGGAGATTTCAGTCGCCGAAACGGGGCACATTGAGGTCTGGGTATCGCCGATGTATCTCGAGCACTGGTGGGGACCCAAGACGAGTGTCAAGAGGGAACAAGACATGCTTAAGAACGGCCAGCAAGTCATGCGGGATGATCAAATCACAGATTGCTCGTTGGTTGGCAATGGGGATGGGGATGCTGGATGCTCACCAAATCCACAGTAACTAGCATGGTTGCAAACATTCCCGTGTCCTTTCGACCATCTCGCAACTCCCGACTTGGATCAGATGCTCTTGCCAGGTGCAAGCGATCTGCAAAGAGCTACCACGATACTGTGGGAACCTCATGTTCCCGTTTTACTATGCACAAGACAAGGGTTGCGGAGGCTGACAGTCATGCGATTGCATAGTCAAAGGTACATTGAAACCAGACTTCACGTGGAGAGCAGGCAGCTCTTGTGTGGGTTGCTGCTTGGCTCTTGTCGGGCCATACCTTGCATCTTAAAGGGCGCGGCACAATGGATCCAGCACACGGAGCGTCATTGAAAGTGATGTTTGGATGAGACCTTGGCATGTGGAAGACATGTCCCCTCAACTCAAATTGTTCGCAAGAACGCCCCGGGCACGGTTTGTTGTATTGAGCTGCATGTGATGTGTACCAAAGATGCAAGTTCCTCAGAGGTAGGTGCCAAAGCGTGCAAAGCTATAATGCTCATCTGCGCTTCTGCCATGGTTGGCCCTGCCACGTTCCGGGCCAATGGCACCCACGCGCCGAAAAGCGGGCGCGGCGCGCTGTGTGGTGTGCGGTCGTGCGGCCGAAGGCGTTTGCCCCATTTGCCAGTCCGCGACCTACTGCAGCCGCAGCTGTCAGAAGCTCGACTGGCTGGAAGATCACGCCACCATTTGCACCCCTGCGAGCCCTGAACCGCCCGAGACCACACCAGAGGAAGTGGTCCATGAGGGCCCCAAACCACTCTCTGAGTTGGTGCAGCTTTGGCGGGTTTCAGTGGAGAAGTTGTGGATCGAGCTGCAGGATGAAGAAGACCTGGAGCACTTGTCAGAGCTGGCGCCTTTACTCACAGAAGCTGAAGAGTCGCGCAATGGTCACTGGTTGGTCCCACGCTGTGAGCTCTCCTTGGGCCAACGGCCCATCTTGGTGACGGCTCCCCACTCCATGGCGCTCCTCCGAGATGGGCAAGCGCCACACCTGGTGGAAGGTAACACGGCTGAGATCGCGGGTGGCATCGCCGAGTACTTGGGTGGCAGCTGCCTGACGTGGTCCTTGTCCGAACGGCGGCGCACCGAACTCCTGTGGCGCCTGTCCAAGCGGGTGAACCAGCAGAGAGGCGCTCTCGACATCCGCGATGGGCATCTGCTGGACCCTCGGAACCGGGATCCCAACTTTTTGGCCACTGGAGAGCTGAACCAGAACTTATGGTTCCAGCAAATGTCCAAAGCCCTGCAACGCATGCAGACCCCAGATGGGAGATATTTAGAAACCCTTCATGTGGATGTGCATGGATGTCAAGATCCTCCCAATACCCCTTCTCATTTGACCATCGGTTTGGGCGCCATGTGCTTCCATGCCATTGACCTTGGAGATTCAGAGCTCTTCGAATGGGCTCTACACTTTGGGGATCGCCTCCACGATGAGTTCCAGCAGGTGCTGTCGAAGGCTTCGACCTCAGGTCGCCTCCGTCCGCGCGCGCTGCTGGTGCGCGTCGCAGCGCCCCCCTCGGCTGAGGCTGAGGACGAGTGCCCGCGCTTCTCAGGTGCTTGGAGGGGCATGGATCGTCACACGCAGTCGCAGCAAGCCGTGGGCTTCGTAGGCTTTTCCCACTCGCTGCAGTTGGAGTTCTCCAAGGCCCTGCGGCAGCTGCTGGTGATGGATGATGCCTTGTTGGCCAGGTTTGCGGATGCATTGCGCACGGCTTGGGCGCATGCCAAGCAGTACCAGACCAAGGCTGAACGAATGGATGAGGGTCAGAAGGCTGTGAAGGAAGAGCGAATGGCCGCGGGCGGTTGAACGCAGCAATATTGAGAAGAAAAATGAAGAGAACGGACCATACCACCATGAATGCTCGATGTGCATTTGAGCGCAGGGATTTTTTCTCACAGGTTGCACTCTACTTCCAGTCACATGGTGGTTTTTATGGGTGCCGATCTACCGGAGAGATGGGAAGAATGTGACCTGGATTTCCTTCAAAAATCATCATGACTCATGCCACATCTCTTCTTAACACATCCAGGATCAAATCAATTCCATGTGAGCAACGTCTTTGTTGGCAGATGCGTAGGTATGCTTCCAGTGTATAGGCCCCGTACTCACCCCAAAAGGGGCCGCTCATGTGTGGTCGTCCATGGTGGAGGTTTGACATCGCCCAGCCTGTGCGGGCTGCCACTATCCTGCTCCCAAACAGCGGGAGGCTGTAAGAATGGAATTGCAGAGGTTTTCAACGGTTAATAGGGGCTTTGGTGCAAAGCAAGCCCTGCCTATCCACCTGTTTGGTTTCGAGCTGCTCGTATGAATCTCATCGTCTTCCGAGATCGGAGAGGCTACGCCAAAAAATGGTAGGCCCACATGGCTGTGTTTCTAGGTCGGTAGGTCCACATGTGTTTCAATGTGCCCTCCATCCAACAAACACCCTTGGAAGACGGTTTTCCTCTACGAACAGGCTGTCGGTCGTCCACTTCCATGATTGTTTCAGGGAGGGTAATGATTCACTGAAGGCCATGAGGGGCGATTCATTGCAATCCGATCGAACGGATCGCGGTGGTCGCAGCGCAAGTCTCAGCCAGGTGATGCACTTCTTGGCACTGGTCATGTGCCGACTGAGGAGGGAGCAGACTGCGGGAGATGGCGACCGCGGGGCCGACTTGACCTGACCGGTGGACCGAAGAGACGACTGGGGACCCACCAGGGTTTAGGGTTCCAGGGTTGGACGAAGGGCCATATATGAGGATTTCTGGCATGCCCCAGAACACATGCCCCAAAGACATACGACGGGCCCCTTTGAAACAATGTCATGCTGATGCCTTTTGAGCTGGTCGTGTGAAATGTGAAGCTGGAGGCTCAGGCGGGCCAACACTTGACATGTACTTTCTTCCAGCCTGCCGGCCAAGAAGTCCATGCAACAACTCCCTGATTTCCGGACCAATGGTTCCCGGTTCTGCCTTGGACCCTTCTTCCTAAACCTGAACCCGCCGGCCACAGGGACTTCAGCTGCCCGGGTCGCTGCCCACGGAGTGGCGGCCTCGTGCGGTCGGCGCGTCGAGCGGAAGGACTCCACCTGTGGCGTCTAGACGCTCAAATGCATTTTTTCGCCCCAAGAGAGCTGAGATGATTATGACATGAAAGGGCTTTTGCAACATGTGTGACCAAAATGTAACTTTCAAAAATCATCGGCTCTAAGAGATCAAGAGTTGACGGTTTGTATCACGTGCCGCCATGAGAGCCAGAGCTGCTGCCGTTGCAGTTGCTGGTGGGAGTGCCGTTGCCGTTCTGGGTTGGGTCATCAGCACGGCCGCCACAAATGGCCAGTCTCTGGAAGTTTTTCACCGAGATCTATGCGCATCCTGCAAATTCAAACCGACCGCACCGGCCGAACCCCCCCCTCCAAGCGAGGAAACGTGTCGTCTCACCCGCGAGTGGAACGAGTCCTACCACCCTCCTCCGACCCCAACTCGTGGTGCCCGGAAGCTGCTGTTGCATGTCGGTTCGTGGAAAACAGGCTCTTCTTCCATGCAGTCGGCCTGGCTGTTCAATGAACAAGCATTGAAAGCCCGTGGAATCGGCTTCCCGCCCTCCCCGAAGTGGTGGAAGCTCACACATTGTGGCTTGACATTGGCGGGTCAAGATTCCAAAGCAATGAACAAGCCATACAAAGCAAAGTTCAACGAAACGTTTGAGGTGCTCCAATTCTTGCAGACTTTTGAGGGCAATGTGATTTTGACATGTGAAGGCTTTCACAGTCTTCCAACATTTCGACTGAGATTGTTAAGAGATTTGGTGTCCGACTTTGATGTCACCGTGGTTTATACCTACCGGAATGTAGTATCAAAGATGTTTTCTCAATGGCGCTTCAGCAGCATGAAAGGAATTACTCTAGAGAGTGCTTCAGACTATTTCTGGCATGGAGGGTGGGATGAAACAGAGGCAATTGCAAACCTTGTTACCGTATTTGGGCGCGAGCGAGTGCGAATCCTGGACTATGATGGTGTTCTGTTTGCCGGCGAGAGCCTGGCGAATGTAGGGCTTCGAGCAGCATTCGGACTTTTCACGCCACCTTTAAACTTGAACCTTTCAAATCACACAAGGATCAACCCGTCTCAGCCACCCACGTACTATTACATCAAATCTTTGCTCACACACTTTTCGATCTACGTTCGGGCCAAGTACGGCTGCAAGGTGGCTCTCGAGAACTGGATGAACTACAGTGAACTGTACCTGGCAGACTTTGCAGATCAAATCCCTTTAACCTCCTCAGGGCCCAAGCCTTTGTTTGCGCAAGGAGCTCTGGTCTATGATTCCTGGGTCAGAACGCAATATTGCGATATCATGTGGTTCGGTGGCATGGGGCGCTTGCCCCTGCTCAAAGAAATTGAGTCCACCTTGCCACTGTATGTACTTGATGTCAACAGTTTTCATGCCCAGTTTGATTTGTGGGCGCAACGCTTCGAAGAGCAATACTTAAAGCGTGGACAAGCTGGCCAATTCGAGTGTGTCAATTTGAGCGTGTGACGCCATGCGGAGTTTGGCAGCCAGAAATGCGCACAGGCACCCATCAGGCAGAACACTGAAAGGCACATGATTCGTCACATGATGCTTTGCCACTTTCCTCTCAAAAAGCTGCGTGTCACAGTTGGTCACGCGCGGATTTCCCGCTGCCGTCGTTGCGGCGTCCAATTTTTGTTTGGAGATCGCGGTGTTGCGGCGGCCAAGGCGTTCCCAGCTGCAGGAGGTGACAAAAATCCTCCTGGAGGCCGGGAGATGGGGCAGGCGTCGAGGAGGCAAATTAAATGCGGGGGAAGGGTCAAAACAGGATAACAAATCCAAATGAATCCACCGACGGATGCTTTGTTGACAGAGTGCATGGGGCCCCAAGAAGACGGGCGCCCAGCTGTCCGTCGCGCCGGGTGATAGAGGCGAAAAAGTCAGAAGCAGCGAGGTTTGAAGGAAGGCACTGGATCAGAGGTTGGCAGGGTCTTGGCCAAACTTCCTAGACATCCAATATGTGTCAATATGTGCCAGGACCTTCGAAGTCCATTGGTTTTCGGACGAACCCCTTAACCACCAAGAGGCAATTTATAGACACCTCTTGGAAGGTTCTGGTATAAAGCCTAGTATGGTATGTCATGCTTACATTGACCACATCTGAGGCGAAGGGGGGCGAGCTGAGCCAGGAGAGGAGAGTGTTTGGTGCAGGTGTCCGGGATGAGCAATTGAACGAAGCAGTCGATGCCGGTTTGAGTGCGGCATGGCATGCCCATCACCTGTGTTTTTTCCGTTCCTCCCAGGACGCCTGGCAACGTTTCCATGCCTTGGGTGACCCAGAAGTGGAGGACTGGAGGGTTTTCAAGTTGTTGACCCTGTCTGAGTCAACTCTGGTGTAAGATGGTGTAACTACCAGGCTGGACGTCGGACCAGGCGGACATCGGGATGCCTTTTGCACACGATGTGTTGCCCCGTTGGCCTGAATGCACACGGTTGATGCGAACAGAGGGGCTTGACGAATGGAAGGTCCAAAGGCAATGAAACAAGACATATAAGACACATGCACCACAGGTCGTGCGAACGGTTTCAGGCTCGCGTCTGGGACGATGCATATTGGAAAAACTTGCCTATAGCTGTTGAAAGGCAAGTTGCTTGGATTCCACGACGACGGTCTGCATTTTTGGGACGTCTGCACGTTCGTTGGTCACACGTGGCAAGAACGGCGACGGATGAGTGCGGAACGAAACGGGGGGAAGAAGCAACCGTTTGAGAAGAATTTCTGAAAAGGGGCATCGTATGTGTATATATACTGTATATAGTATAGATCTGAACATATCTGAACATCAGAGAGTAATAACCCTAATCTTGGGAAGAACCTTTTGCCAGGTTCATGCACCTTGGGGTGAGCGGAGGGGGGCCCACCTTGAACCGAAAAAGAAAAGAGACCGTCCCACTTTCGGCAGAACCCTGTCAGCGCTGTTTGTAAGTTTGCAGCATGGCTGTTGCACCACCCCACCACTTGTTTGAACTTGCCAAGGCTGAATAGGCCTTCATTTTTTCTTTAATCCTTTAGTCGACCTTTCTTTGTCCCTTCTTCTTCTTCTTTTTCTTTTTTTTTCTTGATAGTGGCTGGACCGGAGCTTTCCTCACTGCAGGAGGTGCTTCATCGGGACGATGGGGAGCACCAGGCGTGGTGGTGGACGACCGGGGGGAGAGCTGGGGGTGAGACCTATTCACCCAAGGGGACTATTGGATAGGCCCCTTTTTAAATTCATTTTGAGGACTCGCTTTCCGAGAAATGGAGGACTTGTCAATGGGGTTTGGATCGATCTTCGAACAACCTCACTGGATCTCACATGTTGGGCTGTGACATCCAGAGCCACTTTCTGCTGGACCTTTGTCAGGATGCCCCGTGAAAACGCTTTGGTATTTGGGACCCAGTGTTGTGCCCATCCCTCACATGTCATTTTGGGCTTGGTCCACACCAAAATGTTTTGTTTTCGATATGCATGGAGTTGATCGTGCGGATTCGTGCGGCATTGGTGTTGAAATAAGCTCTGCAAGGACATTTTCTTGACTTGCAGCTGCCAGACGATTATATTATGTATTATATACATATGATGTTATAATATACTATAATTATAGGCGTCTTCGGCGTGTCATCACGTGCTTCTTTCGCAAAGCATTTTGCCAAGCACCTGTCCAATTCATCCTCGTTCATCCTCCAAGCTTTTGCCATTACAGTGACCGGGCAAGAAGGCCTCCTTGCGCAGCGAGTTGCTCGCGAAGTTGCGCCGGGCAAGAGTTTGGGAGCCCAGGTGGTTTGCTGAGAGAAAGTCGCGGCCATGTCATTGACAGAGGCCGGCAGGCCGCCAGGTGCAGGCAGATCAAAATCGTGTCGATGAGACAGAGAAGACAAGCGGGTTCAGTTTTGTATGTGGTGATTACGTACCAGCGCCTCCCCCTGTCATTGTTGTTGTTGTTGTCGTCGTCAAGGCTTTTGTCGAATAGATCCTAGTCCAGTCCACCTCTAGGTGATTCAATTCGAAAAAAGCCCCTCCACATGTGGTCCTGGCATTGATCAGCATCAACAAGCCTGGTCGACTGCGTGATCGATGACTTCATCCCATCACTTGGTCCCCGAATCGGACTCGATCGACCGGGATCTTCTGGGCGACCCGCTCGACCTGTGCGACGATGGGAGGCACTCTCAGGGGATGTGGGAAGGAAGGATGTGATTCATACGTTTCTGAAAGGTGGCCATTCTAAGAATGGCTTGGGCCATGTCGAACTTGAAGAACTTTCGGGTGTTGACTTCGTGGGCTGCTCGCGCACCTGAAGACAAGAACTTTCCTTCTGTTCCCATCTGTCATGCTGCGTGCGATACAGCAGTACCCGCGACTCTCTGGTCGACATGGCACAAACGTAGAAAAGAAGACCCCAGAAATGAATTCAACCATCACAGCAACACAGGTCAAATTCCCATGTGCTCAACTTCTGGCCGTGTCCTTCGAGCAACAGGCCTGCAAAATGATTTAAATCGTGAGTTTTGATGAGGGGCCGTGCAGCACGTATGGATCCCTTAGGGATGGCCTTGCCGCAACGATGCGCCCACACCGAATCATGCCGGCCAGGGATAGTCAACTGGCCCGGGCAGGAAAAGACGAGACTGCACGCTTTCTTGACCTTCTTCAGTAGGGCGAGGAACGTATCAACCGACGACGACACACACACGAGAGTGTGAACTTCAAGCGGTAAAAAATGAACGCGAGTTCAACATAGCCGACAGAAAGATGTTCCGCCTGTTTCCAACGTAGTGAAGCGAAAAAGGAGGCGAGCGTGGTGGCATCTTCAAGACCAAACCCTTGCTCCAGTCTTTGCCTAACACATCTAACACTTTCATCAAGACGCGGGATCCAGTCGAAATCAGATTCGATTGGATGCCAGTCCCACTGTGGGAAACGTGTTGAGAAATCATCAATATCGAAGTTTTTGATCGCAAGCTCATCTCCAATTGTTCTATTGAGCTCGGCCAAGAAACACTGTCGCACAAATACTTCGTGTCCAATCTGAGAGAAAAAAACCTTGGGATTGATGGGAAGGTTATTATCCAAAGCCGTTTGTCTTGCAGCCTCATCTGCAATGCGATTACATACAATGGATTTGCGATCTATCCCAAATTGCTCGGCAATCTGATCGGTAATGCTGGCAATAGGCAAATTGTCACAGGTGTGCGCCTTAAGCCAGAAGAGGCGCATAGGCTCCAGATGTAACTGTTTGCGCTGCCATTTTGGCAGTTGCCATTTGGTTTCCCAAGTACCTTTAGGAAAAACAATGGTGCCTCTGCCTCTATGAAAGGTTTTGAAACATGTTGGCACTCCGGTAGGAGCTCACTTGAAGTTTCCTGGAAGCATAACTCTAATATAGGTTGGACTGTTTGACATGGATACAGTTGCTTCGGTCCGTGTTCGCGTCTGCCATTAGCCTTTAGACGCATTAGTCTGTTTGTAGTGTCTCCATGCCTCCTCCTCCTCCTCCTCCTCCTTCACAGCTACGGCGAGCCAGCGCCGTGGCTGGCGCCAGCTGGGATAGAACGTCAACGGCTCTATGTGGCCAATGTGCGCCTTTGGAACTACACCATCTCCACACGGTCTACGAGCAACCATGCATGTCGAGTTTCGACCCCCCCACCTGACGAGCAATCAGCATCACTTCCGTCCACACAACACAAGGCACAAGATGGGCAGCGTAGACTTGTCTGCCAAGGCATGAACCATGATAGTTGTGACACATCAAAGAGGCTCCCCTGCATGCAGAAGTCCCACACACCAGGGATATCATCGACCTATTGCAGGGCCTGTACCCCCAAAACCCCTATCCGTATACCTACAGAAGGCCTTCCCTGGACTGCGCCGTGCTTGGCCATGCCGTGCTGCGGCTGCTCGGCGTGGCTGGTGCCGACGTCCGCGCACGGCCCAGCGGGGGAAGCGAAGGTCGGGACGCAAAGCTCCAGCAGTTTCAATGGAGTTCTTTGGGCTTCGTCTCTAAGTGTCCTATGAGCTGTTGCAGTCAGTGAACAACTATATATTTTAGAGGAAGGCCTTCACTAGCTATCATCCACTGTTACAGGGACTAGGATATACTAGGATACACCCAAGGTTTTGGTCCTTTTTAGTGAGTCGCAGGAAAGAGGCATATTTTTTGTCCAAAAAAAACCCCGGCATGAAGGACCCTCCTCCGTGTCGTTTGTGGGAATCTTCAACTGGACTGAGGCGTGCAGCTATCTGCCACTAGCTCCACCTTATTGGGGTCCAAAAGAGGCGAGTTGGCACACTGAACATCCATCAAAAACAGCATATCTACATATATCTACTGATCCCCATTCCAGTGCCCCAATTGATTAGACCGCGAAGTCCACCTCATTGCAAAGCCCATCGGACCGATTGGACCGCGAAGGCTTCAGTCACGTGCTTTGCTCGCGGGTCTTCGCCGCAGGCCACGGCGTCGAGTCTTCCCGCCGAGTCGGTGCTGGTGAGTGCGACGACGCCCTCGTTTCAGATGCCTTTGGAGCGTCTCGGTGGGAAACCTGCAGGGGTTTGGAGGTTGGAAGCGTGGAAGGCGGGTTTTTAGCTGCTGACCCACATCTCTGAGGTGGGTCAGCAGGTTCTCACCTAATTCATCCACATTTGCATGTACCATAATTTGCTTCTATCATGTGAATGGTCGATGAATAAGTCTTTTATCTATTGTGGCGCCTGAAGATGCTTTTTACCTGCAATAACCAGGAGAAGGGGGTCCATCAATCAACAGTCTACATGGAAAAACTATTTTTCAACACCCACTAGCTACAACACGCACAAACTTAGTGACAGGGTGTTCAGTTAATCCTGATCCACGGCAAAAAGGAGCGATGGAACGGAAAGGCGGCTGAGTCCAGTGAATTGAAGATGTTTCAACAAAAGGTTGACGCGTGACTGCAGCTGCGCGACCGTGGAAAGCGGCGGAGGGAAACTTGTTTGTGGGGAGTAGCATGCAAAAACCACCATGAAACAAATCGAGAGTGGAACGGCTTGGTCAACAGTTGAAAGTGCAGGTACACAGGGATGATCAGTCCCTGCGTCCTGGTCGACTGCATGGAGCTTCGTTGGCGACAGCCTTGCAGCGACCCTGTCGCCCCCTGCTCTTGACGTGCTCAGAAACGCATAACCTCCTAGAAACGGAGGGGGGCACACACACAGATATACATTTTGACCAAAAAAAAAAATATATATATACACCTGGTTTCGGACCCTTGAATGCAAGGAAAAAGCCTTTGGCTCAGGTGGCCGCTCTGTGTGGCCTTGCAGCTGCGCGCCCGCCCCTTGGGTCGCAAGTTTTTCCCGAACGTGTAGCGAAGGGTTCTCGTTTAACTCTGGGGGTCTGGGGGTAGAGCCTTGTTCGCGACGCGTTGTCGCAGCGATCGCAATCGTCCGCAACCGTCCGCCGCCAACCGCAGTAGGCCGCTAAGGCCGCTGCCATTGGGCGAAGGTTTTGGAGAGGGCTTGGCGTGGAAGCATGACGTGTCGGATTCGTGTGAAATAGCGAGGAAACGTGTGGAAATGTAAGATGTTGAAGTGTGGAGCAGGCGCAGCGTTTTGTGAGATCGGCAGTTGTCAGTGGGATCGGCGTTTGGGGAGTGGTGTTTTTTTGGGGTGTTGGATGTGGCTGTGACATTGGGATTGGCGTTTCAAGGTGTTGCACCGAAGCGGTGTTTTCGTGACAAGTCTCAGCTGAAATGGCGACTTTGGTGGATGGGAGCGTGCTCAGAATGTGTCGAGATCATTCCAAACGTGTGGCGTGGTGTTTGTGGAGGCTTACGTGATATGTTATTGTCACTTTTCGTGGCAGGCGGAGTACTTTGTGCGTTTTTGGATGTGCTGTGGCAGTGCGATTTTCGTGGTTGGTGCAGGGAATCGTCAGGTTGCGAGGTGTGGCGGAGGTCAGAGTTCGTGGCAGGCACCGTACTTTGTGTGTGTGTGTGTGTGTCAGACGTGTGGACACGTAAATTTTCGTGGCAGGCACAGGGAGTCGTGAGGTTGCGATCTGTGGTGGAGGTGAATGTCGCTGTGACATTGGGATTGGCGTGTGAGCGGGCGTTGTTTGGAGGGGCTGGAATCGCGAAACTGCACGGCAGGGATGATCGATGTGTGTGCTCCGAGCTTCCCGCTTGACTTTTGGAGGCAGTCTCGTACGAAACGCTCGTTTTGCAGACTCGAAGCGTGACTTTGGAGGAAGTCTCGCACGAAATGCTCGTTTTGCAGACTTGAAGGGTGAGTTTTTGAGGAAGTCTCGTTTTGGATACTTGACGAGCGAATTTTGGAAGAAGTCTCGTGCGAAATGCTCGTTTTGAAGACTTGACGGGTGACTTTTGGAGGACGTCTCATACGAAACACTCGTTTTGCACACTTAGTGTCCTACGAGAGCGTTCCACAAGAGTGACATACAAGAGTGTCCTATAAGACTGTTTCGCAAGAGTGTCCTACCAGAGTGTCCCACAATGAGTGACAAACAAGAGTGTCCCACAAGAGTGCCGCGCAAGAGTGTCCCACAAGAATGTCCTACAAGAGCGTCCTACAAGAGTGCCCCACAAGAGTGTCCTACAAGATTGTCCCGCAAGAGTGACATACAAGAGTGTCCTACAAGACGTTTTCGCAAGAATGTCCTACCAGAGTGCCCCACAAGAGTGACAAACAA